TTAGTTAGCATAATGCAAGATACATCTTTGGTTTTGTAAATAATGCATGTGTGTGCATGATAAGAGTAGGCTGTTAAAAAGATTTGATTATTAGTGTCTTGTCTGATATTGCTATAACAGTTAGAAAATGGATTAGTGATATTGTGTTTAGGCTGAAAGTGTAACTTTGGTACATTATAGAAAGATTTGTAAAGTTTGGCATCTAGATTGATTTCCATTGAGTTAGACTTAATTTCAGATATAGAGGTAGTGTTAGAGATAGGTGTCAGAGATAAATACTATGAAGCGAAATATATATAGTATTTTCTACAAAGGTATTTTGTGATAATAGGTTGACTAGGACTGGAGAAGAAGTGGTAACCATTGTTGATATTACATTGTGTAGAATTGAAGTTAGCTAGAAGGACCTTAAAACTTTTACAGTTTTTGTCCAAGGTAGCTAAGGTTCAACTACTATATTTGTTTTGAAGAGTATCTAGGTTGAAGAAGTCTGGTTCAATAGTAATGATGCTAGGCATTTTGTGTGACTATCCTAGTATAGTGTTTGTGATACTAAAAAACAATTTTCAAATCAGATTGAATAATCTGATTTTCAGATAAAATTTTCTAATTTAAGAGCTTTGTAGGTAAGTTAGAAAGAATCTGAGAAATGTAGAACTATTAGAAAGACTGATTGGGTGTTTAGAAAATTTTAATAGGTGTTAAAAAGTAAATTTTCTAGGGCAACCTAGTGAATTTTCCTAAATTTACCAGTAAAATAACCTGCAAAAACAGATTTTAGTTTTGCCTTTTTTTTAATATCTCAGTAAGTTTTGATTTGTTTGCTATAAAATATATGTCAATATGACTAAAATAAGGTGCTTGTTATTTTTCTAATAAGTAACAAGATGGAATTAATTAGTAAAATATTTAGCAAATAAGCAAAACCCAAAATTTTGGTTTTTGGAACTTTCTTAGTAGCCAAGTATTGCAAAAGCCTAAAACTTGGCTGCCTAGAGGGAGAAAAATAAACTGAGCAACTTTACTTAGAGGTGCAAGTAAGGTTTACTTAATAAAATATTGAGAAATAATTAAATGTTTTTAGTAAAATTTGGTACAAGTAATCTACACAGAGAGTTACAGAATTGGTCTGGTTTATTATTTGTGCACAAGCATTATTAGTAAAATGCATATAAAATTTCTTAATTTCTACTGTATTTTGAATATCCATATGGTTCAGAATGATGCTACAACACATAGTAGCTCTAAAACCAATCAATTATTAAATTAAAAGCTATAAAAAGGATAGCTTTTTGTTTTTCTAAAAGAACAGTTCTTGAATAGTTCTTAAAAGTTCTATTTTTATATATATAAAAAGCTTCTTGCAATAATTATTTAACCAACAACTCTTTAATAAAATAACTTTTAACTATTATTCTTGAATATTATTCATAAAAACTATTCTTTATTTTATTCTTTATTTTATTTTTCTTTATATTTTATCTTTATTTCTTTTATTTTTCTTCTTTGTTTCTTATAATAATATAAAATAAAAAGCTAGTTTTCTTAATTAGTTATTTGGCAAATACTAGTTTTATATTATTTATTTTATTGTTTTTTTTCTTGTAATAATATAAAATGAATAACCTAGTAAAGTGGACAGGTTGTCAATCTCCAAATGACAGGTCTAGTATTCAAATCCCATGAACAATAAAATTTGAATAATTATATCTGTGTTATAGTAACTGTGTCTTGTTCATTAGTTAGACAGAAGAAGATGATCTGTAATCTTAAATGCACTATCTCAGATAAAAGCTTGGAGCATCTATACAAAGTGTAATATTATATATACATAGAAGAATATTAAATAACTAGTGTTGCAGAAGACTTTGTTCAAATCTACAATAAGACCACTAAGTGCATAACTTCAAGAAACTAGAGCATAAAAATCCACTTGAAAATCCTGAGTAAAGAGGTAGCATGAACTTTTAACAGTACTACTAGACTATCAGAAGCCTCAGAAGAAATAACTAGAATAAAATGAATAACAATATATGTAGAAAAGCATATATTAACCAAGTTGCCGAAAATCATCAGAGAAAAAGAATCTTAGAATATTATACTAAACCATCTGAATTGGTAGTCTGGAAAATCTTATAGGTTCAAAGTAAGAAGAAGATGTTAGAAAAAGAAGGTATTAGAGTCCTAGTGAACTTTACAAGAATATAGCAGTTTAATGGTTAGCTCTGACTGCAAGTGATAGCCTAGATCAGAGCAATACCAGGTCAGCTATAAGTATAAAATACAGAAGGCTTTAGTAGGCTTAGTATAAAGTTAAACATAACTTAGTGACCATGGTATATTTGCAGTAACCCTGCAATTAATAGGATAGAGATGGATATGGGAACTAGAATGTTTAAATAAAGAACCCACAGATGGGTTCTAGGTATGGCAACTAGTGTAGAACCTTTAAGTGAACTACTTAAAATAAACAATAACTAAAGTTGTATAAGTGGCTAGTTGTATACTCTTTTTATAATTGTCTCTGTAGCTGTTGTACATAATAGTTATATGCCAACTAATTATTAATAAACTTTTAGGTTACAATTACTTATCTTAATATTAAAAAAAATAATATAAAGTAAGTAGCTGGTTTTCTTAATTAGTTATTTGGCAAATACTAGCTTTATATTATTAGAATTTAAAGGCCATATATAGCTGTTTACAGTCTAATTATTAAAGCTTTTTTTTCTTTGGTTATACTCTATAGACATTTCTAAGTTTTAAAGTTTAATAATTCTTGTATAGGGTAAACATTTTATTACATCTGATCTGCACAGACTGAACAATAGAATTGGTTTAAAAGCTGGTCTTAGTGTTGTATCTTATAGTGCCTAAAAGGCTATTGAATTTAATTTTACTTTTATATATTTATTTCTTATTTTTGTTTAATTTTATTTATTTTATTTTCCTTTAAATAAAAGATCTTCTATTTGGTATTCATGTATTTAAAATTACTACAGCTTGCTAGTTTTTAGTAAATTTTATTTCAATATTTTAGTATACTTCTATTTTTTTTCAATTTTTAATTCAGATAACTTGTATAGAACTATAACCAATCTATTAGTATATCAGGTTAACCTAATATTCTTTTTTTTGTCTTATTAGTTAAAATTTTGATAGTCTGGTTGATAGTACCTTCTATCTAGAGGTTCTTGCCTATTTGGATACTCTATATTGATATTGCTTTTTAGATTTAGTCTTTATAATAGTGCTATAAAACATTATCTTTTTAAGTCTTTTCAAATAAGCTTCTTATTTTTTAATTTCTATAGATTTATACAACTACAAGAAATTATCTAGAGTTTGCATTACCTAATATTAGTTTGTATTTCTCTTTGTAACTAGTTATACAAATAATCTATAATCTGTCAGTTATGCTAATGCAATTATAATTACAGATATCTTAATTTAATTATTAGAAACAATTGTCATATTATAAATAAAAAAACTAAATTTTGTTATTTGTAGGTTTTAAACTTACAACTTGCTACTTAAAAGATTAATAACTTATTCATTTTACTAAATTGCTACAATCTTTTTATTTTTTTCAATTGTTTTTTATCTTATTTTTATATTTTTACTCTATTTTTTTTTTTTTTTTGTTCTTTATTTTTTAGACCAGATAATATTTTTTTTCTTTTTCTTTAACTATTTTTTTTTTATTTTACAAAAAATTTTTAATCTTCTTGTTTGTATTTTTGAATTTAACTAGAATATTCTTAAAAGTAATTAGCCAAATCTTTTCTTATATTCAGCTATATTTCTTCTATTCTGTCTAGTCTATCCAAAATTTAAAATAAGACACTTTCTATTTATATTATTCTTATTTAAATCTGTGCATTTGACTTAACTTTTTTTTCTTTTAAGGTTTCTTATTCCTTTTCTGCATTAATATTTTTGTCTTTTAACTATTTTTTTATATTTTGAATTTAGAGATTATTTTTTATTTCTATATATCTTTTACTTAGTATTTCTTGTTTTGTGTTTCTAATTTTTGATATATTTGTCTTTTATTGTTTATTTTTGATCTTTTTTGTCTTTTGCTGTTTGATTTCTTCATTTCTTGTATTTTTTTCTTCTAAAATTTTTTTAGTATATTTAATAGTTGTTATACTATATTGTTGTTATTTGAGCTATCTTTGCTTTTTAAATACTTGCAAATATGATTATTACAAACATTTTTTTAGTTTTTATTTCTATTAAATTGTATATATACTGCTTTTGTTCTTTTGTTTCTTAAACATTACAGTAGTAATACTTCTGATACTTTTTTTAAAATATTTAATAGTTTTGATATATACCAACCTTACTTTTTATTTTGCATATAATTTTTATTTCTTTTTGTTATTTTTGCTAACTTGTTATTATTAAGTAGTAATGCTTATAAGCTGTTTTTTCTATTATAAGGCCTGTTTCTATTACTACCAGACATTATATTATGATTTTTTAATTTGTTCTATATATATATCATTAATGTTTTTGCATATATATAGTACTAGTAGTCTATACTTAACAGTTATATGAAATGTTTTAATTTTTTAAATAGCTATAACTTTTTATTTAAGAGGTTTTAAAAAAATCTGACCAGTAACTTTATAAAGTTATATTAGCTCTATATATGTGCCAAATATCTTTTTAGAATTCTAAAAAGATATTTGGCACATATATAAAGCTGGTATAGTTCTATAAAGTTACTAGTCAGATTTTTTTAAATAAAAAGTCATAGCTATTTAAAAAATTGAAATACTTTATATAACTGTTGAGTATAGACTATCAATATCATACTTAAATTCTTTTTTATTAGGTCTTAGATTGTTAAGCATCTTTATACTTCTGGTTTTTTGTTTTTTTTGCTTGTAAGCTCTTAGTTTTGTCTTATTTTCATATTTCTTAGCTTTGTTTTGATATGTTTCTTTTTGTTTAAACTTTTTTTGTTTTACATTACTTTTTTTCACTTTTTATTTGTTATTTATTCTTTGTTTTATTTGATTTTTTTTAGACAAAGTACTTGGGAACCATGTTCCCAAGTACTTTGTTATCTATATTAAAAAAAATCAACTCTACTATATTTTCTTTGAGTCAGATTTAAAAAAAAAAATTTATAAATTTTATTGGCTTGCAGCAGGCTTCTTTTTTTTTGCTTCACTAGCCTCATATATGCTTATGATAGAATTAATTTTAACCATATTTTTAAATTTATACCATTTTGAAATACGAATTAACATTTGATACATATTTTTGATTGAGTCCCTCATACTCCCAATCACTCAATATGTATCACATTTTGATTCTTGTAAAAAAATTTAATATAAAAGTTTTAAAGTTATACAAAAATATCTTGTAATAATTAATAAATCTAAAATAAAGTAATTAGACAATTTTCTTGGCTGCCAGCCAGAAAATTGGCACACTTCAAACCACATCTTTATTTCCTGAATGATGCTCTGTGCTTTTTCGTTCTTCAGAAAGAACCAAGCTTCATTTTTTCATCAGTTTGTTTATTATAATATGACAAACACCTCGACTTGATAATAAACAATTTCAACAAGTTGAAATTGTTTCTAATCAAAGTCTCATTTTTGTCAAATCTCAGAAACAAAATAAAGTTTAACAAAAAAATATAATAAATAAAAATATAAAAAATAATAAATATATATAATTTATTTATTGTTAAATTTAACTTTCTGTTTAGTATGCTCACTGCATAGCAAAATTTGCTATTTTGGCATGCTTGCCATATGGCAAAATTCGCCATTTTGGCATGCTTGCCACATGGCAATCTTCTCTTCACCTTTTGGCAAGATCATGTGGATTTTGATCTTATGATAGTTTGCAAGCCATAGTTTGCAAGCAATCTCAGATCAAATTCTACTTAAATTTTCTTTTACAATTGTTCAGTTATATAATTATACAAAATAAAAAATATATCTTTAATTCTGATAATTCATTCTGTTTGTTATTATGCTAATTTGAAGTATCCGAATTTTTGATATCTTCGATATCGACAATATGGCTATGACCCTGTCTCACTTCAAATCATTGTAGTAAACACATATAATGAATAAAAGCTGCCTATATATAAATATACTTTTCTTCTCTCTCTCCTTCTTTTTGCGGTGTAAGTGTTAAACCAAAATTCAGAATATCTTGAATGTTTATGATAACCAATTACAACAAGTTGCAATTGGTTCTAAACATGTCTCATTTTTCGAATTTCTTTTAAAATAAAAAATAAATATAAAAATCAAATTTATATTGTTAAGTAATTAATAAAATACATGTTCTATTACAAATATTGCTACTGAATTTTGTGTGATTTCAGTTAAACAAAGTATGAAACATTCTTTAACAAATTCAGCTTGTAATTCATATTTTGTTTTGCTGTTATAACAACTATTATTAATTGTTGTTAAATATTTTTTAAAGTCATCAAATTCAAACTCTTTAGTTTTAAGATATTTAATTATCTGATAAATTTTTGTTTTTTTTTTGATAAATTTTATATAGTTCATTAAAGTCATTACAATTTATTATATTGTGTTGAAATATTATATGTTTTGTAAATAATATTTTGAAATATTTCTAAGTTGAGAAAAAATAATATACACTTAATTTATAATTTTTATTTCATATAAAATTATAAATTATTATATTCTATTTTTTGTTTGTATTTTTTTATTACACAACTCTATTTTTTGTCTTTTTCTTTCTTCTTTTAGGGTTTTTAATTCTTTTGCTTTTATTCTTTTTTTACTAATAATAAAAATATAAAAAATATAAATAACTATCTAAATATTTTATTAAAAATAAAAATATCTAAAATTCTATTAAAATCATTAAGTAAAATTCTATTGGATGAGAATGAATGTATCAAATTTTTGTTTGATAAAAATATAATTCAAAAACCACAATGTCAAAATTGTAATAATAATAAATGCATAAGTATTGATTAAAACTATACAAATGTACATCTGTCAAAAAACTTTAAGTATCTATAAAAATACTATTTTTGATAACAGTAAAATTAAAAGTTCTGATATTTTGTTGATAGCATTTTTTTGGTTAAATAAAATTAATTATACTTCAATAAGTTATATGACTGAATATTTAAGTGTTACAATAGAAAAATATATTAATATATTTAGAGAACTAGCAAATAACTGTTTACAAGAAGATGATTATATAATTGGCAGTAATAGAATTATCTGTAAATTGGATGAATCAAAGTTCAATAATCTTTGGCTTATCAGTAGTGTTGAAAGAACAGTAAATAAAAAATGTTTTTTTATAATTACAAAAGATAGAAATGCAAGTACAATTAAACAAATTGTAAAAAAACATGTAAGACCAAAATCAATTGTGTTTACAGATTCATGGCATGGATATCAACTTTAAGAATTAGATTTAATTCATAAACGAGTAAATCATTCATGACGAACTTAAGCAGAAACATTCAGAATTTATAGCAATACAATTGAAGGTATTTTGTACTAAAAATATTTATTCTAAAAAGCACTTAATTTACTTTATTAATATTCTTATTATTCTAATTTAGAAACTTGGAATTCATTAAAAATTTTTATATCTAAGAGAAATCAAAAAGAACATTTAATAAATAAATATTTACAGAAATTTATTTGGCGAAGAAAACATAAAAATAATTTATTTAATGAGTTTTTAAATTTATTAAAATAGAATTTATTTGTTGTATTATTTAGTTTTATTGTTATTAAATAAAAAAAGAATTATAATATTTTAATTTATTCATTGTTATCAAAATTTATAAGTGCATTAATTTGAGTTAAATTTTGTTGATTAATTCATAATGTAATAGTTGTTTATAAAATAAAGAAATTTGTTCTTTACATTCTTTTACTAGTTTATACAACCTAACAATTTCTTCTTTAATTTTATTTGGTTTGAAATAAATACAGTCAAGATTTCTTTCATAGCAATATTGACACTTTGTAGAATCATTATCTGATTGAATACATGATTTATGAAGTTTTCTGCACTTCATACAATTTGTTATTTTAGTATGGGTCATGTTTTTGCATATTAAATTATAAATATTTTTATATTTATAAGTTTTTTCCATATCTTTTATAGTTTATTATGATTACTAAATTTTTTTTCCATATCAAAAAAATCTATAAATATAATTCAAGATTATTAAAAAATATAAAAAATGTCTAATTTATTAACAAAAGAACAAAATATTTTAAATAAAATTGATATATTACAAACTAAAAATGACAATTTGAAAAGTGAAAATCAAGATTTAAGAAATCAAATAATCAATAAAGAGCTGATTATAGAAAATATCAATACAAATAACTTGCAATTAACAGAGAATTATAATCAGTTATCAGAAACTAACAAGCAGTATGAATTGACAATCATAACTCAAGAACTGCAGATTAAAGAAAAAGATTTATTAATAAAAGAATATGAAAGAATTTTAAATAACATACTTAAAAAATTAAACATTTCAGAAAATAAACAACCAACTTTAACAACTTTAAAACAAAGAGAATCTGATTCTGAACAAAATTAATTCTATACAAGATGACAAAAAAAAAATTAAAGCTTTGTCGATTATGAACAGTGAACTGCTCGAAGAACTAAACTATTATAAGAATAGTAATTTTAAAAATTTTTGTGATTCTGTAAACAATTATTTTTCAAATTTTGCTTTAGAATTCTTTGTTGAAATAATTACAGCATATTATTTAAATATAGTAAAAAATATATGGAATATTACTTATATATAACAGCTTTTTAAATTTATTATAACTCCTATATTACTACTTTGGAAAAAGTATATTTTAGCAATTTCATTTATTACATATTATTATTTTACAACAAAATCTTTTCGAAATATTGAAATTGTTTTTATTATTTTTATTATTAATATTCTTATTATTGAATACATAAATTATTATACAAATATTATGTTTATTATTCTAGCATATAATAAAAATTAATAAATTTTATCGAAACAATTTACTATTAAATAATTTTATATTATATTTTTTGAAAGCTTTTTTGCAGTTGTCTTTTAATATTTCACAGTCTTCGCGGAAATTTTTGTTTATTAAATCTTGATGTAATGTAAATAATAATGCTATAATATTATCAATTTTGCTTACATCATTAATTTCATTTGTTTCAGACATCTAAAAAAAAGAATAATAGCTATTTAATAATGTTTACATAAACATATATATAAAAAAAGAAAAAAACTTTATCATTAACAAAAACTTTAAAAGTCATAAGTGCTATAACTGGCAGATGAAACAGACCAGTTGTCTACAAAGTTTCAACTATGCTTCTAATATATTGAACCCCAGTTATTCAAAAGAGAAGAAGCAAAAAGTTTTTGTTCCAACTAGTATGGGTAATCATATAATTTTTTTTTTTAAAAAAAAATACAAAGATATTAACTTTTTTTTAAAAAAAGTTTCATGATAAAAAAATGTATGCAATGTTTTTTTGTAAAACAAAAAAGATTATCTTAAAAATAAATAAACAGATCAAATTTTCTGGTTTATTATCAAGTCACATAAATGAAAGTTATTTTTAGTTTGCTAAAAATATATGAAATTTATAAATAATTATGATCGACACAATATATTATTATTTTAAAATTATTTATATTATATTATTTTAAAATTATTTAAATTATACTATTTTAAATTATTATTATTTTTTTTTTTTTAAATATTAAGGTGAGTACTTGCGACCCAAGATTTTATTGATAGTATATTTGGCTAATGATTGCATTACAACCACAGGGAGCAACTATGGGAAGAGTGTACAACTAGCCACTCATAGAACTTTAGTCATTGTCTAATTTAAGTAGTCTGCCCAAAGGTTCTATACTAGCTGCCATATCTGGAATCCACTTGTAGATTCCCTATTTAACCATTCTGTTTCCGTATCCACCCACCTACCTCTGTCTACTAACAACCCTGGCTGATGTTGGTGAAAATATGCCATAGCCACTAAGTCTTTAAAGCAGTTTCTTTGAACCTTTGACTTTGTACTAAACCTTCCAGAATCTTCTGTATCCCATTCTTACAGCTGACCTGATATCGCTATGGCCGAGACCAACACTGGCGGTCAGGGCGTACCATTAAACCGCTATGCCCTTGTAGAGTTCACCCCAA